GCCTACACCATACAACACAATGTCCCCATCACCAGCCATTGTAGTTGCTACATTCTATTTCCTCTCTTTGTTGCACCATGAAAGAGAGGATGAAGAGGAGGCCRGCGACCACAACCAAAGAGACACCAGCAGCTCATTGTTATTCAATCCCCYGTGTTATTATTGTTAAGATGGAACCAAACGACAACCCCAAAGGCAACAATTGGCATTGAACTGGTACTGTGAACTACTCTGAAGAAGAACTAGAGAGCCTCATGGAGGTGATAGTGGAGGTACTCCCCATCGAGGACTCGGATCAGTGGAATACTGTTGTCACCAAGCATGCTGCAAAGTGGCCMTATKAAAGGAGCAAGAAATCMATTTGGAACAAGTATAGTTCTATCAAAAAGYATGTGGAGGGTTTGGAGAGGATCCCCTCTGCTGAAGTGCAGCAAGGAAGAGCTCCTATTGTCCTTGGTGCTGGTGATGAATCAAGCATCTACTCGTCCATTGTGAGGCCATCCAGAGTACAGTCATCTAGTAGTACTCCCAGTACTAAGAGACCATATTCAAAAGTTCCAGATGCCACTGTGTTCAATGAGTATTTGAAGAGCCAGCAAGAAAGGGACAAGGAAAACTGTGAGTTAGCTTTAGAGCAGTCTAAGATTGCAAAGGAGCACTCTCTGATTGCAAAGGAGGCAAGCCAAATTGCRAAAGAGACCAATCAGATGTGGAAGGATGCTCTTGGTATGGCAATGGCTTGCTTTCAGCAATGGCAAAGCACCCAGAATGGCAACAACAATGCTTACCAATAGCCCTCAAAACAACAGGTAATTCAAGGACGGCAAAAATGACTAACGCCATTGYCCCTGCAAACACTAAGGACTAATGATACTAACTATTCAACACTAATTCAAAGGATCCAAATGAAGATAATGAACTGATCWGTAGCAGTACAAGTATATCAACTGTATTAAGTATATTGCGCTGTAGCGGTAGATGATAGTACTGATTGTACTYATTCCTTCCTTTTTTTCTTGTATAGGTTTTGTGCATACCAATGTGGGATTAGAAACTGTTTCTTGCTAATTCAGCATGTGGTTATTCCCACAAAAATGGTTTGTATCGGCATGCACATGCAGCCCGGACCGGCTTGCACATGACCTGTRTCATAAAGTTGTCTTTGTTGTGGTATAACAAGGAACTCATATTCATTACAGTATAAATTGATATCTATGGCTGCATTGGAGTGTATTAGGGAACGCAGCGACAGGCCCCGGGGGAGTATACACAAAAACCGCAACTTCAAAACAGCAGCTAACAGCAGCAAGCTGTACAGCTTGCTGCTCGTAAAGCGTGCTTCCTCCCCCCCCCCATACTTCATCCATTGAATACTGCTAATTCAACACTAATTCAACAATGTTYAATGAGTTGAACCATTTTAGTTTGACCATGGTGAAGTGTGTCGTGGTGTTCAAACAGTAAGTGTGCTGCTTGTATTTGTATTTGCTACTTTACTTTCCTACTTTGCTAATTACTAGTTACGGTTGAGTTCCAAACCTTGTTGCTACTAATGTGTTGTTGCTACTAATTCSTTATTGCATTGCCGTTGTTAATCTTTCTTTCTTTCAGTAACCAACCAAAGGAATTGACCATGGGATTCACCCAAACAGGTTGTTTCCGTCAGGGGGAAATATGGCGTCCCACTTTGAAGAAACCCTTTGCAAGATAATGCTTCTTGTATGGTTTGTTGGCAGTCGCTATGGGCATCCTCATGAAGGTTGATAGGATCTGGTTGTGTCCTACAGTAATGYATTGGTAGTTGTAGAGGTTGATCAACAACGTCACATAAACCGTTTTCATGGTGTCGCGCTAATCGCGCGGTGAAGGAGCCTCTAATTTCGTAGTTACCCCCGGTTATATCTTGCCCGCGTTGTTTATTTATTTCTGTATCACCGTGCTACCTTGTACCGCAATATATTTTCTCGAAAACAATAATATTTTCATCCTGTGCAAGATATCACATATCGCTAGCCCTCGAAACAACCATTTGTGTTCGAAAAAAGAATATGTCACCTCTCCAGATTTCTTATTTTCCAATTTTGCAACATGTCTATGTTCTTCACTGCGTTAAGAACCCATC